TTTCCCTATCACCCATGTTCAAATCCTTCTCTTCTTTTTCAATCCAATGCAAAACTTCCTCTGCCACAAATACGGACCTCTTCCCACCAAGAAGTAACTTATTCCTCTCTACTTCATGTTTCATTGTCTACTTTGTCTTATTATTAATTTGACTTCTAAGTTTACTTCTATATCTAGATTCTCAGCTTTCCAGGGCCAGAATTTTTTGTTTGTTTTGCTAGAGATCGCATGTGCTTGTCAGATAGAGCCAGAGAGAGAGAGGGAGAAACTACCCCCTAATTGAGAATAGTCATACCACAGCCCCTTCTCTTCTCCATCCTGTTGGATTTTAGACATGAACTAACATGAACCCAGTGTCTTTTTTCTTTTTCTTTCTTTTTCTTTTTTTTTTTGGAGGGATTTTTGTTATAGGGCGTGTGCCCTCACCAGAAAGACAGAGAGAGGCAGAGAGACAGAAGGCGAGTTTAAGTTGTCAGGTCCGGGAGTCAACTGAAGTCGACTACATAGGAGTCCAGCGACATAGCCATTACGCCAATTGCTAGTCCCCCCAGTGTCTTTTTTCAAGCCACTAGGTCTGGGATTTGAACCTCATAGTCAGCCATGTAGGATTTAGCTCCCTCAACCATGGGACTGGCCCACAGGGTTAGGGTTTCTTAATCATCTCGGAATTGTTTGACACAAAATCTACTGCTTTGTAGATAGGCAGTTTATAGAACAGTAAGTACAGGACTAGTATATAATTTTCAGTACCCAGTTTGAAGTAAAAATGTAGATCATTCTTTAAAAAAATTGTTAAGCATTTCAAGATAGATAGTTCTGAGAACATCTCTCAGCAAAGGCACATTCTATGAGAAGACTCTTTATTATACACGAGTCACACATTTGTGAAGCTAAAAGAATTTTGGGTGACTATTTGGTTCCTACTTGGCCATCTGTTAAGAAACTTGGAGGTGTTGTTCAATTTTAATCTACCAGTCATATTGATGTGGAGGTGCGGGGTTGATCAGGCCTAGTGCCTGTGCTGGTTCTTGTCTGATGTTCATGAGGAATTAGAAATATGGACAGAGAGGATAGCAAAGCAGCATTTTATTGAAGGAGGAAAAGCTTCCAATGCAGTGGAAGGAAGGGGGCACCAGTGGGTTGCCACAGGTGGACTGACTAGCCTAGTTATATAGGATCCTGACAAGGAAGAAAACCTGTTCTTTGAAATAGGTCTTGTAACTAAAGACACCTAGAAGTCTTGAGTTACTCTTAGTGTCTGGAGGGGACCAGATGGCTCTTCGTTTTAGTTATTCATGGAGATTTCCTTATCTTTGTGCTTAGACATTGACTGGTTTCAGTCTGATTTTAGCCTGGAACAGGGAGTCATAAATTCCTCTAAGACTTGTAATGGGGGTATAGTGAACATTTACCAGACCATAGAACACAAAACCACAGTAATCCCTTATGGGAAATGCTCCCCCCTCAAATCACATTGAGTGGGGTCTACACCTTAACTAGATACAATTTGACTTTTTTTTAGGCAAGAGGTTGGATCTTCTCCAGGAATCCTTAATGGCTAGAGGCTAGAACCAAAACCCAAAACCACTGCTGCCCCACCCCACCCTCACCCCCAACCCACTTCCACCTCGGGGCCTCAGCAGCATTCACATATAGGGGTCAAGATGATAAGTGGGTACATGTGAGTTTACCCACTCTAGTGGGAGTCTACTGCTAGATGAATCTTTGTATCTGTAATCTAATAGATCAACAAGGGTTAAAATGATTTTAGATTTAGAAAAAAAATCTGAGACCTGACATAGTTTAATCTCTACACATTTTATCACTGAAGGCAAATCATGGAATTAATATGGTGATTTCTCCTTCCTCCAGAGCCTCCTTATTAAAAAACCTTGATAGGGAGCCAGTAAGTGGCCTGATGGTTAAGATGCTAGATTCCCACGTGGTAGACCGCTATTCAAATTCTGGGCAAGGCCACTTGAAAATTACACTGAGTATGTGTGCATGTGTATCTGTCACATGGACAACTTTTGTATCTATATTCATCAGGATTATGGTGGGAATATAAATTAGTCCAGCTACTGTGGAGAATAGTATGGAGTTTCCTCAAAGATCTACAAATAGAACTATCATATGATCCAGGAATTCCACTCCTGGGTATCTACCCAAAGGATAGGAAAAAAAAATGTTCAATTGGAAAAGTGCTTGCACATCTATGTTTATTGTGGCATTATTCACAGTGAGACATGAAACCAACCCAAATGTCCATGAACAGATGAATGGATTGAAAAATGTGGCACATATACTCTATGGAATACTACAAGCCATAAAAAATAAGACCCTGACATTTGATAGAAAGTAGATCAATATTGAAGATTTACTGCTGAGTGAAGCAAGCCAGGCTATGAAAGAGAGACATTGTGTGTCTCCACTTAACATATACCAACTGTTGGCACTATCTTCTGGAAACTGAAAGATTAGCATATATAAAAGCATGGAAAATTGTTCTGGATACCAGAGACAGTGTGGGAAGAGGGTGGGAGGAAGGGTGAGTGAGAGGAATGGAATCCAAGAAAAAAATGGAGATATTTATGGGACACAGAAATGAATGATTATCCGTTGATGATTATGTGTATGCTGTCTTCAACTGGACTGGCGTGAAGTGTATTCATGTTGGGTAAATTCACTTTTT